TAGGATAAGGTGAGCCTAAGTGTTCCCTTTTTAGGTCACAGTCACCACTTTGATCGTTGTTATCAAACATTCACCACACTTGACTGCTCTGCACAGCCCCGGATTGCAGGGAGCCAGCTTTAGCCAAACTTTGCAGGGGTCATGATGTCTCATGCCTCCTCTTCCCATGCCCACCACTCTAGTTGAGGTCCCTGCATGTCCCATGTCTGCTAGCAGTCCTCGCCCTCAGCTTCTCCCCTCAACAGTCGTCATTTGTATTGGTTAGCATGGGTCTTCATAACAAAATATCATAGTCTGGGTGGCTTAAACAACAAATTTATTTCCCCCATTTCCAGAGACTGGAAGCCCAAGATCAAGGTTCAAGGTTCTGGCAGAGTTGGTTTCTCTTACAGCCTCTCCCCTTGGCTTGCAAATGGGTGCCTTCCCCCTGTGTCCTCGTGTGGTCTTCCCACTATGTGCACATCCTTGGTGTCTCATAATAAAAGATACCCATCTTGTAGGATTAGGGCCCCACACCTATGACCTATTTAACGATACCTCATTAAAGCTCCCATCTCCAAATGCATTCGGAATTAGGGCTTCAATGAATTTGGGGTGGCACAACTTCGCCCATAGCCCCATCATAGCATCCTAAAGCAGCTCAGAACTTGGCAAGGGCTTCTTGCTGACTCTCTGTTTCTTACAAGATAAAACCTGGATTCTACCTCGTATCTGAGAGCCCCAGGCCCACCCTCCACCCTTTTGTTACCCGATGCATCTTCTGTCCCTCAGCACACAGAACAGTTTCCCTGTCAGCTGTGTGCCTTTCTCCCATTCCAGTGCCTGCGCCAGGCCCTTTTTTGTGCTTGGTTTGAGGCCCAGCCCTTTGGAATCCCAGTCATCCTCCCAGCCTCAGGAGCCCTCCTGTTACCTGCGGGGCTGTCGGCACATCCACCCTTCCACCAGGTGGCATACCTCACTGTGCAGTGGAGAGGTGCTCCATCCCACAGATGGGAGAGGGGATGGCCTACGGTGAGCTCAAGGGCATTTCACTGTCCCACACTGAACTGAAAGCCGATGTTGACTGTAACCCTGTGCTCCTCACAGCCAGTCTCCTGACAGCTGTGACATTTCATAAAACTAATAGAGGCCATTACTACAGGAAGTTTCAGCAGAGCTGAGCAGTCGAGATGTGTGACTTCACTGAGGACCAGACCCTCAGAGTTCAAGGAGGCTTTCCAGCTGTTTGACCCAACAGGAGAGGACAAGATCCTGTACAGCCAGTGTGGGGTGCACTGAGAGCCTGGGCCAGAGCCCCACCCATGCGGAAGTGCTCAGAGTCCTGGGGAACCCCAGGAGTGATGAGGTGAATGTGAAGGTGTGGGACTTGGAGCACTTCCTGCCCGTGCTGCAGACTGGCCAAGAACAACGACAAGGGCACCTGTAGGGGTATGTCAAAGGCCTTAGGGTGCTGGTTGACAAGGAGGGGAACACCACTGACATGCGTGCTGATATCTGACGTATTCCATGGCACTGGCTGAGAACATGACAGAGGAAGAAGCAGAGATGCTGGTGGCAGAGTACAAATACAGCAGCGGTTTTATCGACTATGAAGATAAATGCATGCACTTGTATGCATGGTACTGAACAGCGGAAGACATTGTTCCCGGTGTTCCCAGTGTGCCCATTCCCCTGTGCCTTCGCTGGTGTGAGACTGTGCGTGTAGCCCCGAAGGCTTCCTAGGTTCCCTTGTCACAGCACTTTTCCCAGCTTCTATCTCTTGAATGATGTTTGCCATCAGCATTCACCAAATAAACTTGCTCTCTGTGCCCTAAACAAACAAACACCAGGAGGTGTCACCCTGCAGTCATGCACAACACCAGGGATATTACACCGCAGCTTCTGAATTACATCAAAGCATAATGGCTTGGATGCCTAGCCATCTGCATGTAGACTCTCCTTTCATCCCTCCCTTTAATCTAGCTCAGTGGTCTTCAAACTTCAGTGTGCATAACACCACCATTCAGGGTCACATACAACAAAAACATATCCTTTTATATTTACACTTGGAAATGTGCTGTCAGAGACAGTTCCCAGCGTCCGTCCGTGTGATCCTTCCAGATTAGGCTCTGGACCAGGTGTAAACGAGCCTATGATACTGCCCAGCTGGTGTCCTGGGACTGAGCTTATCCTACAATAGCATTTCTCAACTGAACTGGGGGCATCTGTGGGGGTGCTCCTGGTATTGAGTGGGTACAGGCCACTGATGCTGCTGAACACTCCCCAGTGCCCAGGATGGCTCCACCCCAGAGAATGACCTGGTCCAACATCAACAGTGCCTAGATCAAGAAACCCTGCCCGTGCCCTAGACTAAATAGGGTATGCACTCATATGTTCTTCCTGGCTTGGAACAAGGTCAACAACTATCCACTTCCACTGGTTTCCTTAGGTGGAGCCCTGCTCTAGGTGAAGACAGTGCTTTTCACCTGAGGCAGGTCACCGTGGGAGCAAGGTGGAGAAAGCTCCACAGATTGCCTCTACTTTCTCAGAGCTCTCGTCGGCTGAAGGACAAGATACCCTTCCACCCCAAGGATACTTGCTTCTGTGCCCTCAGTTGGCATGACTTCGTGGGCTAGAGCTTCAGGAACAAGTGATAAGCGCTGCTGGAGATGGAGGCTGTTGGCATGTAAGGAAGCCAGGGTGGAAGGGAGCCTCCACCGAGCCAGCTGCTCAACGTCGCCGGTAGTTCTGGTGGCTCATGCAACAGCGGCAGTAGGTCTCAGTCCAGAGAACTCCAGGTCTGCGCTCACACTTGGACTGAGTGCCCCTGCCCTTGCAGCTTGGGCAAACCAGACTCCCTTGTTGAGCCTTCCACTGGCTGCAATGGCGTGGTATTTCGTGTCCTCCCAATGTCCATCCCTTCTCTTGCCAGTCTGGGTTGGGTCCCGACTGCTCCTGTGTGATTTAGGAGACGGTAGCCCCAGCTCCAGGGCAATTCCTGAGGGATCTAAGCCAGCCAGCTTGGCCCCATTCCTCTCGTCTGTGCCCATTTGGAATGGGTGGTGTGGGACTCAGGCTGGACAAGAAGCCATGAGGGGGAAGAAGCTGGCACAGGAAGGCACATGTAGAACTTATGTAGAACATACCTTGCAGCATTTCTTTAACAGTAGAAAATTGGAAATAACATGTAGTGGTTTAAAAATAAGTCCGTAAACTCTTTTCTGTCTTTAATTAGTAGTAATTGTACCTCAGATAAAACTCAGTGGCTACAATACTGCCACTGCACAAAGCTCACACAAATTCTTTGATGCACCTTGTTTCAAAAGGTGGGGCTGAATCCTCTGCCCTTGAGTGTGGATTGGATTTAGTGATTCACTTCTAATGGAATGTGGCAGAACTTATGCCATGAGATGTCTGAGGCTGGGTCATAACAAGGACAGCTTCTACCTGGTCTGCTCTTCCTTGTGGAGGAACATTTTGGAGACACATCCCACCACCCCGGTTGAGATTTCAAATGATGGAGCCCACCGACAGCTTGATAAAGATTCTGAGCCAGAGCCCAACCAAGTCACTCCTGAATTCCTGACTTACAGAAACAGAAACTGTGAAGATGATAAATGGTTATTACTGTCTGGAGCCTTGTCATTGGGGGATAATTTTTTGGATTTTATTTATTTTTACAGAGAGGGAGAGAAACATTGATCAATTGCCTCTCGCACGCCCCCAACCAGGGACCCAGCCCACAACCTGTGTATGTGCCCCAACTGGGAACCAAACTGGTGACCTTTTGGTTCACAGGCTGGTGCTCAATCCACTGAACCAAGGCAGGAATAATATATTTTTTTAATGCTCATTTGAGGGTACGTTCACTGATTTTTTAGAGGAAGGGAGAAAGATGGGGTGGGGAGAGGGAGAGGGAGAGAAGGAGAGGGAGAGGGGCAAAGAGGGAAAAGGAGGAGGGGAGAGAAAGAGAAACATATATCCGTTGCCTTCTGCATGCACCCCAACCAGGGATCAAACCCACAATCTAGGTATGTGCTCTGGCCGGGAATCAAACCTGCAACCTTTTGGTGTGTGGGATGATGCTCCAGTCAGCTGAACCACTGGTCAGGGTTGGGGATAATTTTTAACTCAGCAATAGATAACTAATACATAAATGTCTACCATTAGGAACCTAGGCCAATGAATTGTGATACATTCATGCAAATAAATAATCAGGCTTTAAGTTTGGGAGGCTCAGGGCAAAAGTACAAATGGAAGCCTATATACTATATGTCTAAATATTTTAATATTATAAATCAAGATGACAAGTTAAATACAGTACAGTACCTTTCCCTCCCTTATTGAAGGGGCATATATTTCAGAATTTTCTTTTATGACCCTTATTGGTATTGGGCTAAAGTCTTTGATGATACCCTTCCCAACAAATGGGCTTTTAAATTCAAGGACTATCTACTGGTGGCTGATATTTAGCAGAACTTGGGGCACTGGGGTCAGAAAGATCTGGGTCTAAATCAAGCCCTTGACATACGCCAGTGATCCCCAGAGAGTTTCCTCAGCTAGACAGTGTGGACAGATGGACTGACGGGTGGCACTGGCGCCCTCTCCGCAGGTGGTAAGGCATGAATGAGATGACGTGGACCAAGCCTCAGAGATGGCTTCCCACAGAGCAAGCCATCAGTAAAAGCTGCTTCTGGTTAGTCAAGTGTTTAGTTTAGTGGTAACCAATCTTCCGCATTTTAATAATCGGGTGGATCCACTTGTCCTTTGTTACAAAAATACCGTTAAAGTTCAACTTTCTTTGTGGAATCTTGATATTGGGGGGGAGGGGGGAGGACTACCACTCATGTGAATGAGCTGAGGAGTCTTCACATGACTCAGACCTGACTTTGCCATTTACCATGCCTCAGAGTCCTCTTCCATAAAATGGGGCAACGATGTTCCCTACCTCACAAGGTTGTCAGGAGATTGCATTTGTTCATGCAGAGCACTTAGAACTCATCGTCAAAAGTACTGTGTGAATGCGGGCATCTGAAGCAGCTGACGGCAGTGTCTGCGGTGATTTTTACACTCAACTCAAGTTCTACATAGGGCTCCATCTAATGCAGCCGGGCTTTTGCGTTTGTTTTGGTTCTAGCACCCAGCCTCCCATGGCTTTCCCCGTCCCTGCCGCCGGAGCCAGCTTCACCTCCCACCCCACGCCTGGAATGGGCTCTGCCGTGACTCTGCCATTTAACCCCACGGCCACCCAGCCACCCAGGTCTGGAAGCCCGGCAGGATATGGCGGGTACCAGCCCCACTCCACCCAGGACTTTGGTTACGGCAGCAGACTCCCGGACCCTACCCCAACGTCCACCACTGCTTCCTCCTACCAGGTATCAGCCCATCTTTCTCTGACTAGCCCTTGTCCTTCCTTGAAAACATGAATGGTGTTGAATGGAAGAGTGGTGTGGGCAGCCTGTACTAGCAGACAACCCAGGACACACCTTCACCCTCCTCATGCTTCTGTCCCTGTCCCTAGAGGTGATTGGGGATGGGCTTTTCCTTGTGGGGTCCCTCTGTTGTGGATGATGCTGTTTTCCCGACCTCAGAGTTCCAGGCCGCAGATCTGGCCACTGTGTTTCCACCTGGAGTTGCCAAAGACCCCAGGCTGCACGTGGTCCATCCCCGACCCCTCCAGCCTCTGCCACCCCACAGGCTATCCCTGGTTAGGTCAATACATGGCACCACAGGCCACCTAGGTAACCGCTTCACACTTTGGCTCTGTCTCCTCCCTCCGTCCCTCTCTTGCCATTGTTTCTCCAAGGCCTGTGCCTTCTCCCTCCTACCAACCCTCCCATGCTTCTGCCCCTTCCAAAGCCCCCTGACCCCTGTGGTTTTGTCCTTGCCTCCACATCGTCCCTGATCCACCAACAGCCCAAACTCTGCTGTGAACCAAAATCCAGCCATGCTCCCTGCTGCCCTTGGCACAGAACCTAGATCCTTGAGAGCTCCTGCCTGTGTATGGGGCAAGTGAGGACACTCCTCACCCTTTCTTACTGCTCCCTGTGTCTCTCCTGTGGAAACCCTCTCATAGGACAGTTACGGCTATGAACCATTGACAGCCATCAGTAGCTGCGAGAACAAACAGCATCACCCTCCTGCTGTGGGCCAGCCTCAGCTCCCTGCCATGGTCATGCTCTGCCAGCCAGGTGGGTCTCTGCAGTGTCAGAGGGTGGGAGCAAGGGACGGGGGTCACCACATTAAAGTCACATTTAAACATTCCAGATTCATAGGAAAGCCTGCAGTAATGTGAATGCCAGGGCTATCTTTTCAATGAGGGGCCTCTGTGTGTGTGAGAGAGAGAGGAAGAGGTAAAAATGGAGCTGAAAGTGTTTTCCAAGGAAGCTTTCCCAGGGTGGGAGGGGGTTAAGTTCTGCTGAGGATGTGTTTCTTAGAAGTGGAAGAGATAAGGAACGCATTGAATATACACCCCCGTTATACTTACATCACAGAGGAAGAAGAGTCTGGAAAGAAGTGGTGGGCACAGGTCACAAATGATTCCCAGCCAGGATCAGAGCTCATGATCGGAGGCCTGCCGATCATGATTGGGGTTCCAGCCTTCAGCTGAGGCCTGGACGTGGGGGCAGGGGGTGTGAAGGGGGGAAGTGGTCCATGGCCAGTTGTGCCTTGGGCTCTCTCTCAAGTGGGGGCCTGTTTGCTCTGGCAGCTTGGGAGGCTGGAGGCCCATGGGGAGCGTGGCTCTCGCTCTGTGCTTCCTGGGGCCGGGCTGAAGTGTGGCTCCTCAGAGGTTCTCTGCTTGCTCTCCAGGGGCGAAAGGAGCTTACTGTCAGCCTAGCAATGGGTACAGCCAAGTGCAGCCTGTACAACAGGCGCCCACTACTAAGACGGCACAGCCAGCCAGTGTCCCATCCTCCGGTTACAGCTACCCTGCAGCATCCAGCATTCAGCCCTCGGTCTTCATGTCCACCCTGCCTTCCTGTACCTCGTCCTCACCCTCCTACAGTTTTGCCTCCACCCCGTACACAGGTGAGGCAGTGCTTTCCCTGAGCGTGGATGCAGGCGAAGACTGAATCTGTTTGCAGCCAGAATAAACGTCCTCGAAACCCACCCATTTTTCCCCTCATTCTTTTCTCTGCTTCTTAGGACTAAGCTATCCGAGCTGTTACACGTCGGTGTCCTCAGCAGCTGGTCCTTGCTATCCTCCACTGCTCCCCCCACAGATGCAGCCTCCACCTCCTCCACCCCCAAAGCCTGAGGACCTGTCCCCATGGGGTGGCTCAGGGAACAGCTCCAGTGCCAGTTCTGCTGGCAGCTTCACCAAGAAGCCACCGGTTCCCGTCAGGCTGCTAAAACCCAGGGATGGGCCCAGGCAGCCCCCGCTTCACTACTGTGACCTCTGCAAGATCAGCTGTGCTGGTGCCCAGGTCAGCGCCCCATGCCCAACGCCTGGCAGGCTCTGCCACTGTCCTGCCTCTCGTTCCCCGTGGCCAACTAGAGGTCAGGTTCGTGGCCTGCCCGAAAGAGGCCTGTTATTAAACTTAAAGTGTCAAGTGTGTGTCAGAATTACCTTGAGATGCCCTATTGGTGTTTGAGCGGAAGAAGTGAGAGCAGCACAGCACTGACTGCTGGCCACAGAAGGGTCTTAAACTCCAAAGCAAGCAGGGCTTCTCTTGATTTGGGGTAGGAGAGGCAGCCAGCGCCCCCTTCTTGAGCAGTGAGAGTGGGCAGGCACGGCTAGTTGTGGTTCGCCTCTGCTGCAGGGCTGTTTCGGCAGGGCCATGGCTGGGTGCCAATAGGCACGGGTGAGCAAGGGTGCGTGTCATCTCAGTGGAAGGAGTGTGGGCTCCAGAGCTGACCTCCCGGGCTCACAGTCTAGTGCTGCCACACTGTCACCCCCGCAGGTATCACGGTCTCTCTGAGCTTTAGTTTCCCTATGGGACAGGATTTGAACATCACCACTCAGCATAGCATGTGGCACGTGCCTTAGAAAGGCTTAGAAAGGCCAATTCTTGTTATTCCCAGTTTTGCTAATATTTACTAGCACTTTTTTAATTAGAATTTTTATTGAGATAGTTATAGGTTCACATGTAGTTGAAACAAGTAATGCAGAGGTCCCATGTACCCTTTACCCAGCTTCCCCCAATGGTAACATTTTGCAGATTGCAGCCAGGATGTTGAATTAACATGATCTACTCTTATTCAGATATCCCCAGATTTATTCATACTCATTTGTACGTGCATGTGTGTGTGTGCGCGCTCTGTTGCAAAGGTAAAATGTTCACAAGATTCCTACGTTCCAGCAAGTACCCCTCCCACTCCTGCCCCTGCCTTCCATCTGCCCCCAGGACCAGCCTGTGCTGCCTTGTATATTTTCCACAGGTAGTTTTATTCCATGAGTGTTTGCTCTCGGCATGGTCAGAGGGCACTGGTTTAGTGGGCTTGCTGTAGCTTACCTCCTCTTAAGGGTTCCCAGAGAGGAGGGTGGGATGTCGCCTAAGAGCTTGGTCATTTGTCAGATGCAGTCACATATTTTGGGCCTAGTGGCACAGAGTAGGTCTGTGACCCATGGTGGCTTCTCTCATGTGGAGACCGCCGGTATTAGCACTGTTCTAACAAGGAAGTGTAGTGTGCGTCCTTGCTTGGTTTATGAGGTCAGCTTCTGAAAAGCCAGAACTTTCTTTCAGAGTAACCCTTAAAACCAAATGTGTGGTCCTTTGAGGATGTTGGCTTAAGAAACTCATTGATTTTTAGGAAAAAAAGAAAAAGAAGAAAAAGAAACCTAATGTCTTTCAAGTCGAGCATCTGAGTTTGTTGACTGTGCTTAAATAAAACAGTGCCTGGGTATGGAGGGCTGGGGATAGTAGGCCTGTGTGTGTGTGTGTGTACGTACACGTGTGTACACACACACACACACACACACACACACACACACCCCCGCTGGTGAACTGTGGGGACGATACAGTGCCAGTGAGCACGCCCCCCTTAAGGCCGCCCTCACTATCTGCCAGCAGACCTACCACGAACACCTGGAAGGGCAGAAGCACAAAAAGAAGGAGGCAGCAGAGAAGATGGGCGTCCAGCCCAACGGCAGCCCACGTGGAGTGCAGGCACAGCTGCACTGCGACCTTTGCGATGTGTCCTGCACTGGGGCAGAGGCCTATGCTGCTCACATCCGGGGGGCCAAGCACCAGAAGGTAGGACGCCCACACGGGCTTAGGCAGAGGAGGTCTGGGAGCAGCCCGCCTTCCACACTCAGGCCCCAGAGGGGCACCCCGTGCATTAGAGGGGGTGCTGATAAGAGGAAGCTTTCCCTATAGGGCCCATGTGTCCTTTTTCCTTAGAAGCCAATCACCTTCTCCCAGTTATAAAAGTCCCACCTGCCTCTGGACAACAGCGTGAAGCAATGCAGGGCTTGTACCCAGGCCCCTGAGAAACAGTTCTTGGAATAAGGTATGTCTAGGTGTTTACATGAATAAGAGTTTGAACATTGATGCGGTCAGATAGTATGTTCCACATGGGGTCCTGCTTTTTAAAAACAAAAATAAAGAAAATATTGTTTTAATGTCAAGGATATAGAAGATGGGGTATTACTGGATCCTAGGTGTACATGTGTTCCTATAGAATGTAGACATCTGTCTATGGACATATGCACATGTACGTCTTAGCAGGTGGCCCCTATCTATGTACCCATCCACACATTCTGTGTCCCCATCGGGGTGGGCACCGAGTTGGTGCTTGGGACACAGAGAATGTCCCTGTCTTTCAGCCCAAGGCAGTGGAGTTAGAAGGAATAAGGTCAATGTTAGCCAGCACAGGGCACTGTTGTATTATAGGGCCTTTGTGTGCATGACTAGTGAGGGTCTAGAAGCAGGAGACAATTTAGGAAGGTCTTCCAGAGGGAGTGGTGCTTGAGAAAGCTTGGTAGCCGGGGAGTGGGCAGGGTCCCCAGGGACTGGGACGGCAGCACTAACTCTTACTCCCATAGGTGCCAGCCCACCCGCATCCGCTCAGGTCCTCTTCCTTCCTCTTGAAGAAGATTTGTCAGGCCTTCAGTTGGTCCTGACAGGGGACCCTGGGGCTGTTCCAGGTCTTCAAGCTGCATACCAAATTGGGGAAGCCCATCCCCACCATAGAACCCGTGCCAGGGAACTCCTGCTTGGCCCAGACCGCCTGCACCAGCAAGCCGGCCCCCCTCACCACGGAGAGCCCCCCTGTGACCTCAGCCAAGCCCGAGGAACCCGCTGGCTCCAGCATGCACACCCCTGGCGAGCGAGAGCTGCCCAAGAGGCCAGTGGTCTCAAAGGCCACGTGCACGGGTATGTGTGTCTGTGATTCACAGCCCTTGTGCCATGCCCTGACTCGGCAAACTCTAGGTTCAGAGAAGTGTTTGGTCAGTTAACGTGTGTGTATGTGTGTGTGTGTGTGTGAGAGAGAGAGAGAGAGAGAAAGAGGGAGAGAGAGCGAGGAGAGAGAGGGAGAGAGAGAGAGGAGAGAGAGAGAGAGAGAGAAAGAAAGCATATCTTCTCTGGAGCAATTAAGCTATGACTGGGAGCGGGGGTGTGGAGGGAGCATGCCTTCTCCCCCATTCCTGCCAGGCTGCAGGTGCTCCGCTGCCTCTGGTCCATACCTTCTGAACCTTTGATAGGAGACTATTTCCCTGAAACCTTGGTAGAACCAATGGGATGCCGGCACCATTTCTTCCCACGGAGGCTCGGACAGACCCAGATGCTGTGGGTCCTCTGAAGCCCTGCCCTAGGCCTGGAGAATTGCCTGGGCTGCTACCTCCCACATGCTGGGAGCTGGCTCCTGCGCACCCCGGTGCTCACGTTAGACAGACTGGGCTCTCGCGGTTATGTGGGTACTGGGAGATTAAAGTGGGCTCCTTGCAGCCCCACATCTATGCTGCTTCCCTCAGGGGTGGGACACATCAGCTGCTACCTGAGGGAAGTGATGATTGCCAAATGAGCCACACTGAGTGGATCATAACCAGGATGGTATGTCAGGCAGGCACTCTACACCTGCTGCACATGCCTGATATACCCTCCATGACTCTAAAGCAGATTTTATCATTAGTCCCAGTTTGCAGATGGAAAAACTGAGGTAAAGTGAGAGGAAGTACCTGACCCAGGCCACCTCCTAAGGGAGTGGAGACAGGGTTCAAACCCAGGTCTCCGACCGTCTCTGTTCTTTATTCCCATGCTTTTTGGGGAGAGGGCTTATTTTATTTTTAGCATCAGCAGCACTGTGTTTTGAATAATCACATGATACTGAAGATAAAATCATAAAGCGGTTTTCACAACAAAGAAACAGCTCCCTCCCATGACGGATTTATCGGACGAGGCCAGGACCCTTGGTCTACCTGATGTCTCCCTGTTGACTGACTGAGGGCAGCAGAGCCTGCGCTGTGGGGGATTCCTCAGCTGGGGGCCCACAGCCAGGGGCCCTCTAAGGATGCATCCAGATTGGCACCAAGCTCTGTGTGGGCCTTGTTCTCCCAGCCGTGACCCAAGCTGACAGAAAAGTGGTCTTGCAGGACCCTGTATCTGACTGGCTGACATCACGCGGGGGTGAAAGGGGCTGAGGGAGGCCTGGCCATGGCTTCTGGACAGAGCAGGCTGTAAGTGGTGCAGTTCTTCCAGGGCCCCCTGAGCTGAAGGCAGCAGGCTGCAGACCCTTAAACGGGAAACTGGAGCACATGAAATCAGAGAGGTCGGGACAACTGCTCACCCAAGGAGTCTCTGCAGAAGCTTCTGGAAGCTGTTGTGACTCACAGCCTGTGGGCTCAGGCTACGTGAAAGAGGTAACTCTGCTGGCAACCATCTCGCCCTTGGGCCTTTGCTATATGCCCTGCCTCATCTCTGGGTTCTGGTGGAGGAGGACCTTGCCAGGGTCAAGTTTCATGTCCTCAATCCAGTTCTCCATTTCACATTTACACAGCCATCTGTAGGCAGACCTCAGTGAGTTGTCCGGAACTTGCTGGAAGGTGCAAGTGCTGGGTTTCGGATCTCAGAATGAAGGCCTGAGGCAAGCCGAGGCATTTCTTTCTGAGCATCACCCCACAGCACATGATTCCAGGGGTATTAGGAACCAGTATGCACCCCACACAGCCATTGCCCAAAGCCTGGGCGGTGACCCTGCGGGCTTTTCTGAAGCAGGCTTCTAGAACTCAAATTCTGAAGCTGCTTCTGGCTGCTTCCTTAGTTCCCAGCCTCTCTTCATTTAAAGACTGCATGTGGCTAAAAGGAAGTATGAACATCAGCATTTCTCTTTATTTTTGTGTTTTTGTTCAACCAGTTCAGCATCTTGTTTCGTCCTGTGTCCTGTGCAAAATAACCACACGAGATAGGACTCCTGTGCTACAGACCCAGTCATTTAACAGTTAAGATTTAAGGTCCATTAAAGCTGCAGTGAAAAAGAGAAGGGCACACTGTGGGCAAAAATCGAGACAGGGCAAAGCAGGACCACCACAGGGCGGGGCATCGGCCAGCAGTGGCTGACCCGGGGGAAGAGAAAGCACCAGATGGTGGCAGAGGCGAGCTCAGCATGGGAGGCTCTTTGAAAGCCATCCTTTGGAAGAGTTCAGCAGACAGGAAGCCAGCACGATGACCTCGAAGGCTTTGCTGTCACTCCTTTGGGCCATCCAGGAAGGCTCAGTGCCCTTGAAGGGTGGAAGGAGGCACCCTTTCTCAGGGGCCAGCACTTAACTCAGCTTTGTGTCTCAGGTATGTGGCAACGAAGGCAAAGCGGTCCGGTTCTACTGCAAGCTGTGTGAGTGCAGCTTCAACGACCCCAACGCCAGGGACATGCACATCAGGGGGCGGCGGCATCGGCTGCAGTACAAGGTGCACCTGGCAGGGTCTGATGAGCCAGGGTTGGGGGGTGTGTATGTGTGTGTGTAAGAACTTCCATGATTTCTAAATATTGGTCCATGTCTCAAAACACATTTTTTTCCTCTGGGAGATGGAATTTTGACAGGAGCTGCACCCCCCCCGAGCCTGTCAAGCTGCATCCAGACCCGCATTCACCACTGCCTGGCAGGCCAGAGCAGAAAGCATGGGATCGCGTTGCCAGTTGATCTCATCTCTTGCAGATGAGTGTTTAGTTGTAAAACTGCACCTGCTTGTTGCCAGAGGAGGTTCTCAGGCACATGGTCAGATCACACCCAAAACAAGTCTCACAGATATTTCCTCATTTTCCCCAGACACACTATTAGTGTGTTCCCATCCGACACATGTTTTTCTTTTCTGGGGCCTCTGCCTGTGTCCCAGGCTGGCGTGTGCTAGTTGAGATGGGGAGTGCTGTGCGCTGTCGGAACTGTGTCCCCGTGGGGAAGCACGCGGCACCAGCACAGGACTGAGTCCGTGAGCTGGAGAGGGGCCGGGGCCCTGGTGCTGAGAGGTCATGACTCGAGGGGCCACTGCCGCAGGGGGTGTTGGGCTGTCCAGGCTGAGCCATCCTCAGGGACCTCGGGGCCTCCAATGCCATAGCCTTCCAGCACCAGCAGGGGGCCCTTTGCCCACCCAGGGGGTGATTTTGTGTGGCCAAGGAGCTCCCGTGGGCACTTTAACACCCTGGACTCCACCGAAGGGCACCCGTGCACGTGTGTGTGTTAACAGGCCTGACCCTTGGGCCTCGAGTGTGCTTGTGCAGAGCCCACATGTAACTCTCCTCGGGGCGATACTCAGGTGCTTCCAGGTGTTTCCTCTCTTTTTAGCAGTTTCATGGAGATGTCATTCACACATCTTACAATTAACCCACACAAATGGTACAGGTGAATGGCTTTTACTATGTTCACAGAGTTCTGCAACCTTCACCTCTCTCTAATTCCAGAACATTCTCATCACCCCAAAAAGGAGTCCATCCCCGTTAGCAGTCAGTCTTCATTCTAACCCCTCAAGCCCTTTTAAAAACCACAAACCCACTTTGTCTCCTTGGACTTGCCTGTTCTGGACATTTCACATAAATGGAATTACACTGTGTGGTCTTCTCTCACTGAGCATTGTTTTCAAGGTTCATCTACGCTGTAACGAGTGACAAAGCTCCCTTCCTTTTTATGGCTGAGTAATATTCCAGTGTGTAGATGGACACATCTTGTGTATCCGTTCACCTGTTGATGGATACTTCAGTTTCTGCCAATGAATAATCCTTATACAACACTACCTTTTCTTTTTTCAATTGAATTTTTGGGGTAACATTGGTTAATAAAAGTATATAAGTTTCAGGTGTACAGTTCTATAATACATCATTTGTATATTGTGTGTTCACCACCCCAAGTCCCACTACACTTTCTGGATGAAGATATTAGGTTCTAAAAACCAAGTTCAGCAAATGCATTAGCCATGCTATTTGAAATATATATCACTGGATTTCACACAAATGGTGTTTCCTTGAATTATTTTGATTGGGAATGAGTATTTGTCATTGAACTTTTGGTGACTCTTCAGTGATGGCCAACAATTTTCTGCCAGTGGTGTCACAGCTCCTGCGGCTCCTCTGTCAGATACGTAGATGGGGTTCTGCTTTGACTGTCACGTCTGTTACTCTGTGTGTTTTGTCCCTCATGCTAGTCCCCTTTCCTGCCAGTGCTTTTGGGGACAGGGAGTGTTAAGACTCCGGGGGATTGAAACCCACTGCTGTCTAAATACAGCAGAGGGGCCTATCCCTGCATCCCTGAGACACCCCAGCGTTCTCGTGTAAGTGACGATCTCCCGTCTTACAGCCCTTCCTTTCTTTTCCAGAGAAAAGTCGATCCTGACCTTCCGATCTCCATCAAGCTCAGCAACAGAGTCTGGAAGCTTCTGGAGGAGAGGAAAAGGAAGCAGAAGCAGCTGACCAGAAAGCGGCTGGAGGAGCTGCGGCGCTGGCACGCAGAGATGAGGTGCGGAGTCCCTTCCCCTCACCCTCCTGACTACCCTCTGCCCCAGGGCAGCTTTGAGAACCAAATGTCTGCTTGCTCACTCACTTACTCGCTTGAGTTGGAGGACATCAGCTCTTTCTTCTAGGGCTCAGAACCCAGATGCTCATGAGCCGCATAGTTGACAGCGGACACGGCGTTTGTGGGGACATGGAGCCAGCAAGCCAGGCCCCTGTGCACGGGTCCCTTTAAGGATCTGCTTTAGTCAGTGCGAGTCACCTAATAAATGAGTGATGGCATGGCCCTGCCAACCGAGGGGCTGGCAGTCTCTGGCCTGATGCACAGGGACATTCTGTTGTCCCCATGTCATCTGACCCCTGGTGTCCTCCCACCTCCTGTGTCCCTGCGTCCCTGACCCTTGGTGTCTCCTGACTGCAAGGATGATTTGTCATCATCCTCCTTCACCCCCTAGAGCAATTCCACAGCATTTCATGACACAGTATCCAATTCATGGAAGATCCAAAGCAGCGTCTGAGCTGGGGGATGAGGCCAGGGACAGACTTGGGGGCTGTGGCCACTTAAGCTAGCTTTTCCCTCCCTAGCAGTTTCTCTTGGCCTGTGCCCTCCTGGCCCTTGGAGCCTTAGTCTCCCTGGCATATGGCATGCGTTTGTATAGAAGCCCTTCATGTGTGCTCATGGGGTCCCATTCAGCTGCTGCATCTCCTCCGTGGTCCCAGAGCCTCAGCCTGGCTCAGCCCAAGGACCAGGCAGCAGGAGCTACATGACTTTCGCACGCTGCTAGCTCTGATGGGACAAGCCCAGGGTTCTGTAGCTGCTGACAGCTCCTTGTTTTCTTGCTACCCCACAGGAGCTACGACATGTGTAGGCAGCGTCTGGAGGAGAAGCTGCCGGCCGAGGATGAGTACCCAGGACGCTCCCCATCGGACCGGCACGCTCCTCCCCTCATGAGCAGGCTGGGGGCACCTGCTGCCACACCTCTGGTAGGCGGTGGTCTTGTGCCAAAATGCCTCCTGTGTCACTGGCACTATGGGGTGGGTGATTTTCTCACATCCGTACTTGAAAGACCTAAATCTTCCAGGAATGAGGAGTAGGACTTTGTGCCAAGACCCCTGACAGGTGCCCACCCCTCATCATTGGTCACTGATGGGAGCTCCAGGCCCTGGCCCCACCGCTCACCACAGTGGTCCCTTTAGTTTCCTGAGGTCCCAGTTGTCACATCTCTCAGGGCCCCTCAGGTGTCCCTCTGTCTGCGCAGGCCATGGTTGGATGGGAATCTTTGATTCGCACCTTGCTAGGGAACAGGCCATTGAGTTGACGGAAAAGCCTCTGATTTAGAAATGTGAGGGTGTCACTACAGGGAAGCCCCTGGCCCCCTCAGTCCTGAGCTTCCGGGAGCCATCAGGGGAGGCCCTGGGGTCCTCCCTGGGTCACCAGCAGTGGGTACCCGTCATTCCTCAACCTGGCTCTGCTCCTCATGTCCTCCTGCTGCCTGTGCTGCGCCTCTGCAGAGCTGACACCCCTCCTGTCCCCTGCCCGCCGGGTCTCCAGGACCTCTTAGCCCACTGCAATGTGTGCGCCTTTCCTTGCAGCCCACACAGCGGCCAGAGTCCAGTGATGACCGCCACGTGTTGTGTAAGCACGCCAGCATCTACCCCACAGAGGAGGAGCTCCTGGCTGTCCAGAAGGCTGTGTCCCACTCAGAGTGCGCCCTCAAGCTGGTGTCCGACACGCTGGTGGAGGGGAAGTCCCGAAGCCCAGAGCAGGAGGGCAGCGCATGCAGGTAGTGGAGAGCACCCTCATTTCCCTAGGCCTGGAGGGCGACTTGGAGGAGACAGGTGTTCTCACAGGATGTGGCTGCCAGGACAGGCAGGGGCTGCTCTTCCTCTCATTGGCTTTGAGCCTCTGCAGTAGCAGGGACTTTCCAGCCCGTGGGCGGTGTAGTCACTGCCTCCAGTGTCAAGGCTGAAGCCCCGAGGTTCAAAGGGAGTTTTAGTTCCAGCTGGTGAGAGCTGTTGTTCCAACACCAGCATTTACTTTTTTCACCAAAGGTGCATCTAGCAACGTAGTAGTTCATGAAACATGAACCGCCTCTGTTTGCTCATCTGCAAAACGGAGGTAGTGTGACTCTACCCCGGTCCCCGTGCCTCACAGAGAGGCTGCCCCTTCGGGCCTGTCTGAGTCATCCCTCAAGGCCCTGCAATTATGGGGGGACAGAAAAGGCCCTGCGTCCTGTAAGGAGTCATTGCCCAGCTGAAATAATCCGAGAGGGAGGTCGCTTTTCCAGGTCCTTTCTCTCTGGGTGGCTTCTTTTTTATTTCCTTTTTTTAATTTTTATTCTTTATTTATTGTGGTGAAATACTCATACGCATGAGGTTTACCATCTTAACCATTTTAATGTGTACAATACAGCGGCACTAAGTACATTCGCAAGGTTATGCACCCATCACCCACCACGTACCTATTTCTAGAAATTTTTCATCATCTAAAACAGAAATGCATCCTCATTAAATTCTGTACCCCTGCCCCAGCCCCCGGCACCGTCATTGCACGTCCTCTCCCTATGACTTGGCCTGTTCTGGACATTTCATGTATGTGCAATCATGCAGTATTTATCCTTTTGTGCCTGGCTGATTCCACTTTAGTTTCTTTTCATCCTAGTGTTTGCTCCCTGGAAAGAACATACTCCACTGTGAGTTACAAGTGTCACGATACAATGAAGTAACCCCTCAGCTTAAGAATGCAAACTTCCCAATATGTTGTATCGACCAGGGAAAGTAAGCCTTCTTCACCCACCTGGTAGGGGAAAAAAGGGGGCTAAGAGGATACTTTTTTCAGCCCTTCCCTGGTGCCCTCACATAGCTAAACCACAAGACCGCCAGGTCTGATGGGAGAAGCCTTTGAAAGATGGAGCCATCCCAACTCTGAGGTTTACCTGGGGCTTTGTGCTTGCTCACAAGTGGGACTGGCAGTCTGGCCGTGAGGCGTGACGCTGCCTGCAGCCTTGCTCCCTGCGCCCCGGGGCCGCGTGCAGGTGGGCTGATCGCCTGGAAGCCACCCAGAGGCTCTCACACTGCAGGCGGAGAGGATGCCACATCGCTGAAATCTGCACTCAGGTTTTCTGAACAAAAAACTCCCCCTCACTTAATGCTTTGAAGTTCCCTCCCTTGTATACTTGTTTTTCTTTTTATTTGTTTTTTAACTTTTCATTTTGAGATAATTACGGACTCATGACAAAAGAGCAGAGAGAGAGTCTTCAGACCCTTCCCCCACTTCCCTCAGTGTGGACATGGAAGTGGCCTTTGCGTGTGTCAAGGCAGGAAGTCAACACGGGCCTTTACGGTATTTTTCAAAAACATGGAAATTTTTTTTTTTTTTAATGGGAACATAATAGACCATCTTGTGGATGTTCCATTATTTATTTAACCATTGGAAAGAGCATTTTAACGTTTGGTTTTTAAAAACTTTTGCTGTGGAAATTCTCTAATGTACACAAATGTTGACAGAACAGTAAAATTATAATGAACACCATGTGAGCATGACTAAACCATGAACAGCTCCCACGATTTCACTTGATCTCTTGGCCCTTCCTCCTGCCCCCTCCATGGTTAAAAGGAGATCCTATCAGATATCATACTGTTTCTTTACTAAGTATTTAGTGAGTACCTATCTCTAAATATTAAGGAACCTTTATTTAATAAAACCGTAGTGCTATTATCATACTTTAAAGAAAAATTAGCAGTATCGAATTAATGTCATCAAATATCCAGGCAGTGTTGAAATTCCCAGTTGTCCCACAGATACCGTAGCATGCTGTTTGGGTGTTCTGGGGTTGGCTTTTCTGTTTATAGCTTGTGTGAATTGGGATTCAAATTGGTTGACAAACTTCTAAGTTTGCAGGCTCCCCCTGTCCTCTGTTTTGCTTTCTCCGCCTTTATGAGTCTCACTTGCAGAGCTTGGTCCTTGCCCCCCTAATCCAGAAGCCCCTGCTCTGGATTTTGCCAGCGGTCTCCAGGGTCAGGTCCCCTCGGGCCTTGGGCTTTAGAGCTCTGTGGTCCCCAAATGGATAAGAATATATAAACATGGTTTTAATACAAAGGTTATCTCCTGCCCTGGCCGGCCAGCTCAGTTAGTTGGAGCATCATCCTGATGAGCCAGGGTTGTGGGTTCAGTCCCCGGTAAGGACACATACAGGGATCAACCAATGAATGTATAAAGAAGTGGAACAACAAATTGATGTTTCTCTCTCCCCCACCTTCCTCTCTCTCTCTCTAAGATCAATAAATAAAAAAAATTTTTAAAGAAAAAGTTATCTCTTATCCTTAGAAATGTCACAAAGAAAACAAAGTAGTGATTAGAGAGTGACAGAAGAGGGTGGCAGCTTCTAGAGCAGAGGATGGGACATTTGTCTAGAGATCCCTCATGTGAGGGCACCCCACACACCAGTCCTGGGAATGGGACTGAGAGGAAATAGGAAGGGGCTTAGGACTAAAGCAATGATTTCCAACCACTGTTGTGCAAAAATTTTTAAAACATGCAATACCTGACTATTTGGTCAGGGACACTGACTTTTCCCGTAGACTGTCAAATAAAAACAGGACAACAGCCAACACAACAATGGTCATCTGGCGTGAATGCCCTGTCTTGAACCATAAATACTTGTATATAGGTCATATAATAGAGTTGCATCTTATTGGCCACGTGACATAATAAGATGTGTCTGATTGACTAATTTTTGGTATTAGAAATCCTTATATACAAGTATAGGCACCTGATTTTTTTTTAAAAAGTCACTTTGGAACAAAAAGGTAGGTAATTATTATTTTTTGGTAAATCAAAATTATACCTACTTTTTGTCAGACCATCAAAATATATAATTATATTTTTGGTGGCCCACAGAATTTTAGTAATTAGTTTACGTGTACCATGAGATGGTAAAGGTTGAAAATTGCAGGGCTACAGTGTAAGGCCCAGGAGGCAGTGGTGGAAGGGGGCGGTGGCAAGGAGGCCAGTGGGTCAGGCTGGGGGCCTCGGGCCAGGGAGGAAACCTGGGTGTCCCCGTCCTACAGAGGGCCAAGGCCGGGGAGTTAGATGTAGGGCAGACGCGATGGTCGATGGTCGGGTTCACGCTGCAAAGAGCTGGCCCTGATCTGCCGAGGCCAGGCCGCAGCAGGGATCTCCCTGTGGACGCGGTGGTCCGGGCCCTTGGATGGGCCTGCTTGCAGAGGGCCGAGGCTGGGGTGAAACAGCCCCAGAGACGTCTCAGAAGATGCCCAAACCAAAGGGTTGGCCAGGGCGGCACCGACTGTCTGAGGAACAGGGGCCCCTGGGGATGCCATCGTCGGCCCTTTTCAGAATGCAGTTTATCGGAAACGGTAACCACCCCCAGCCCTCACTGACCACACATACCCGCTGTGGTTCCCAACACTTTTCTCAAATAGATCTTGTCTCCTTTCGTCAGGTGCAGTCTGAGAAACAGGACTCAGAAAGGGCCCCTTTCACAGATGAGGAAGCAGAAACGCAGAGGGCCCAGCAAGCTGTTGACATCCCCAGACCCAAGGCAGGGCCGCACGCGCCCTCTTTCTCCCTGACCCCCCTTCTCACACATGCATTTGTGGGTTTGTCTTCACAGCGGTGCCAGCCCCTCTGCTCGGATCCTGAAAGGTGTGGTGCGGGTTGGCCTCCTGGGGAAAGGCCTCCTCCTTCGGGGAGACAGGAACGTGCAGCTGGTCCTGCTCTGCTCCCAGAAGCCCACCCGCGCCCTGCTGCAGAGGGTCACTGAGCAGCTGCCCCGGCAACTCCTGGTAAGGGCAGGTTCCCCCCCGGTGGTGGGGTGGGACCACCAGCCCTCTCTCAAGAGCCCCTCAGGCTCCCTGACAGGGCTGACTTTGCTTTCACAGGATTTTAAGAAACAAGAGCGGTTGTCGTTATTAGAGATAAACAAGGTTTGTTTGTTTGTTTGTTTTTGTAAACAGTTGCAAGGAGAAAGAGATGGAAACTTCAGGGTTCCTGTATGAAGTGAGTTCAGGGTGAAACTGCAAAAGTGTAAATGTCCCATCATGAGAATGGTAACCAAGCCATTTAAAAGGGTATGACGTGGTGACAGCACGGGAGATTCAGTGCAGAAGAAAGGAAGTAGCCTCGAAAGTTGCGAGGCAAGATGGATTGTGGGAGATCAGCTGGATTTTCTCCAGACAAGGAGAGCACTTCCTCTGTTGTTGTCATGGCACTTTTCTCCGGCCAACTGGGGGAGGAGTGAGATCGCGTCATGGTTTAAATTGATCATCTTAGGTTAAAGCAATCAGTTCCCAGGGCGGTTTCTTCCTGATGTGTCTGGCACTGTTCCTGTGAAACTTCTGCATCATTCCTCCTACTGGCTTAGTGAGCTCGGGGTTGCAGACCCAGGCCACCCTTGGGCTCCCACTCTGGTCAGGCGCAGAGACAGACATATAGCAAGCTAACCCCAGTTTATCTCCTGTGAGGAGATTGAAGCCTGATGCCAGGTGGGAGCCCCCGGGGAAGAGGGGGCCATGTCCCACAGGACAGGGAGGTGTGTGTCCGGGCAGAGGACATTTAGGTTGTTTCCAGTGTTCTGTATTACCATTAAGGCTGCACAAAATAATAACCCTGTGCATACGCCACTCTGCACACGTGGCAGCTCATCCTAGGGCAGAGTCACTGGGTCAAAGGCACGAGCCTGGGACTCCTGGTAAGTGCTGCCAGGTCAGCTTCCACCAGCGGTTTGTAAGATGCGCGGGTTTGCTTGCCCAGCTGCTCCTCAGGCTTCTGGAGTTTCATTCTTCTCACAGGGGATGATGGCACCTCATTATAGTTTTAATTTGCTTCTCTCTTCCTGTGGGGGTCCTCTGTGTCATTGTGTAAAAAAGGACACTTCTGTTTCCTTTTCTTCCAACTATCTATTAATGGCCATGTTCTAAAAAATTATTATTATTATTGTCTTCGTTAAGGGCATTCTTTACATATGAAGGCACCTTATATGCTAGGTTCATCATCTACAGGCATTTTATTTTTTAAATTTTTATTATTTTAGAGAAAGGAAGGGAGAGGAAGAGAGAGAAACATTGATTTGTTGTTCCACTTATTTATGCATTCACTAGTTGATTCTTGTATGTGCCCTGACCGGGGATTGAACCTACAACCTTGGTGTATAGGGACGCATTTCTACATGTGTGTATCTGTATGCATTTCTACATGTGTGTACTTCTGGGAGGCAGGGCTGGGTCTCAGTTCCATGGAGGCTCCAGATGCCTGGCACGGCGCCTGCAACGTGACATGTCCTTGCTGTCTGTACCTGTCTCTCAGCTGGAGTAACGTGGCCTTGTGTTGCGTTTGTACCTCACAGATGGTGACAGAGGACAAGTACGAAGTTTCCTCTGACTCAGAAGCCAATATCATCATCTCATCTTGTGAGGAGCCCAGAATACAGGTCACTGTGTCTGTCACCTCGTCCCTAATGCGGGAGGACCCCTCCATGGACAGAGGTGCGGCCAGGCCCTTCTGTCCAGCCCCCCTCCCCACACACTCAGGTGGCTTAGGGAATCATCTGAGTCTGCTCTGGGCAGGGGCAGAGTGGTGGAAGTGCAGCCTTCTGGCACTTCTGTCCGCCCTGGCTGCCTAGTCAGATAAGAGCTGGACCTGTGGCAGCGGAGGAAACAAGCTGGTGACAGAGTGTCAGGTGGGCTCAGAACTGGGCTGTGTGTGTGTTCCTGGGCCCTGCCTATACAGTGCCATGTTCCTCCCTTGCCTCCAGGCCAGTGTAGGCAGCTGAGCCCTGCGCAGGGGAAACCAGCTGTGCCAGGTCCCCAGGAGCTCACACCGTCCATCTGTCCATAGAGGAGGCCACAGCAGAGGTCACAGCAGACCCTGCTGGTCCCGACACCACTCGTGTGGGACACGGGGGTCAGAGGGCTTAAGGCATGTCGGCATTGCCTGAGAGTGGGAAGGGGTGCTGGGCCAGGCTGGAGGGCAGCGAGGGCCTCGAGTCACCACCACACGGTGAAGGCCCCCTGTGGTTCACTGAGCCATGGAACCTCCTGGAACATCCCCAAGGACCATTTTCCATTAATTCATTCCTTTTTTTAAAAAAGATTTTATTTATTTTTAGAGAAAGGGGAGGGGAAGGAGAAAGGGGGAGAAACATCAATGTGAGAGAGAAACATTGGCTGCCTTTCCTGCGTGCCTCAACCAGGGACCAAACCCCCAACCCAGGCATGTGCCCTGACCAGGAGTCAACTCAGGACCTTTCACTCTGCAGACTGATACCCAACCAACTGAACCGCACGGGTCAGGGCTCCATCCATTCATTCTCCCCCTTCATGATTGTTGTCCGGAAGACCACCAACTACCAACATTTTTCTTTAAATCAATTAATTTTAACACAAATTTTTAAAGAGGAGAACCTTTGACTATTAATGGAAAGCCATTACCAGTTGTCATGAGTAAGAGAGTTGTCTAAAAAATTGATACAGGGGTCAAAGAACAGCACCATTAAATTCTAGCTAAAGGCCTTGCTAGAGTTTGCTCAAACATGCACACAGCGGGAGATTGGGAATGTTAGAAAGCACTAAACATCTGTGGCCACTAGATGGAGGCCGGCTGGAAAGATTAAGAGATGCGGAACCCCTCTGTGACTATGACCACCGGGAACCTGTCAGCCTCGCTTAGGCGTCCACGGCCCGGGCTGGAGGTTGTTGGGAGGGTAGCTTCTAACCCCTCCTCAAAGACACACCCCTGCCACCATGAGAACCCTGGAGGCATGAGATCCCTGGGGATATTTATGGGTGAAAGTGAAACCTGTGCTCCGCCACGTGACCTAAATAAACCAGGTGTCCTAGAATGAGGTGAGAATATTCTTGAAGCAATAGTAGTAAGAAAGAAAAAATGGACCTTCATTTTTCTCAGACATGGAGGCCTTTGTCATCAATGATGTCATGTGTTCAAATATGACCCACTTTCTGCCTTTTAATCATGTATTTGGAAATTTCTAGAAATCTGGCTTAATTCATAGTTTTCCACCTGCACTGTTATTTGCTAACCCAGGGAGTCAGTGCTGACGGCACTCAGTAATAAGCATTAAATGCCTTCCTCATGGGCAGTAACTTGGGAGATAGGATTTTCACAGAAATGATTTCTCTGGTCCCTGTAGTGCCCACAGGAAAGAAGATCTGGGAGGAAGCATGTGTCTTCCAGATAAATAAAATGGGCCCCGGAGAATAGAAAGGCATGGCCCACATGCATCCGAGAAGAAGAGAAGTGGGAAAGGGCACCTCGCCCACATGCCCTTTTCTTCTAGAAGGAATGGAAGCGCCTTCGCCAGACCCAGGGGACCTCTTGAACCTGGAAAAGTGTCTCCAGTCACTGGCTGCCCTCCGCCATACCAAGTGGTTCCAGGTTAGAGGGGCGGGGTTGGGAGGGGGATCACCCTTGTCTGTCCTGTTGGGTGCGTCCTTAGCCAACTCCTTGGCTAGCTGTTTGGCTCATGCCCATTTGGAATGGAGCCTGCTCCCAGCCACCGCCCTCCAGGCCCACCAGCTGTGCCCCCTGAAAAGACCCTCCCTAACCTCTACTGCCAGGACAGGACCCCTGGCCCAGCTCACCGTCCCCGAGGTCTGCCCTTGTTCCCTTGGCCTCACACACACCCACGTGCATATGGCTTCCAGAGCTAACTGTGTGCTTCTTCCCCCAAAGGCACGAGCCAGCGGCCTACAGCCCTGTGTAATTGTCATCAGGGTTTTCCGAGACCTCTGCCAGCGTGTGCCCCCCTGGGGAGCTCTGCCAGGCTGGGTAAGGCAGCACCAGAGAGCCACCCCTGCTCTGGGAGCCCATGAGGGCCTTACTTCCTCCTGAGCAGACATTTTTCCCTCCCAGCACTTTGCATTTCCAGAAAGGGCTGGCATCAGCCTGCATACCGGGGAGAAGTAAGTCATGGTAGGGGTGTCTCAGGGGTCCCTTGGCACCAGGAAGAGGCCTGCTCTGGTTACAGCCCCACTTGACTGTATTTTCTTAAACTTTCAACCTCACAGGCAGGACCAGGTGCTGTGCCAGTGCAAGTGTGCCAGGGAAGTGTGCGGCATCCGCACAGAGGGCCTGTCCAGGTCAGGGACCCAGTGCCCGCTCTGGCTCCACTCTGGCCTCCGGACCACCCCTGCCTCCTCTGGAGAGGAGCCCCGCTGTGGCTCTGACACCTCATCCCCATCTCCCCCGTCCCCGCAGGCCCCAGAGCCCAAGGGAGCGGGGGAAAGAGCAGAGAGAGGGCAAGGGTCCCCATGCCCCCGAGTACCCAAGCTGCTGCATTGTGAGCCCCCTGGCTTCCACGGTCTCTGGGACCCCCCACCCTTTCTTTCTGTGGGATTACATCTTGTCCCTTGGTAGGTTTGTCCCTGAGTGTCCCGCTCTAGTTTCATGCCCACCCGCCTACCCCCTTGCCAGTGCTAGGTGGGATGAACGTAGGGTTTTACGTTCACATTTTCTCAGGAAGGAGCCCAAGCCCCTTGAACTCCGACGGCCGTTTGCATTCTGTGCACAGCCTGCTGCTTCCTGTCATCTTCTCCTGCTCCCAAAACCAGGCCCTTGCGCAAGCAGCCCCTTCCCATCCGGGCCTGGGTCACCACTGGCCTTATTCACAAGAGCCATCTCCAAAACCAAGGGTTCTGGTGCCCACCAGGACCTCCACCTCTTGCCCAGTGTCCAGACCCTACTCTTAGCACCACAGCCAGGGGCCAGCTTCATGCTGAGCTACTAGCGCGCATCCTCTGCCCTGGCAACCCCCATGGATGGGGTGGCTCCTTGAAGGAGGAGGCACTCCTGAGCAAGTCAGAGTCATTGTGACTCTAGCTGAATGTGCCATGGGTCACAGAGAACAAGTTTCTTTCAACCCTTGAAATGCTAGTTTGCAATGTTACAATTGATAGGATTTTGCCACTGGGGAAACTGAGTGTTAGAGAGTGAAGAAACCTGCCCGTGGCCATACCAGGAGGTGGTAAGGCCTCAGTGACCACCACCCTCTGTAGGAGTCAAGGGTGGGTGGGAGTTAGAAAAAAAACTGGGAGGGGCCACCTATCCCGGGGTCCTCTGGAGACCTCTAGGCAAGCCCAAAGGGGCCCCTCCAGCGGGAGGCAAGCTGGCCGAGGCGCTCTCCCCCAAGGCACAGCATCTCCTTTTCTGTCCCTGCCTGGCCCAGGCCATGGAGCTGCTGGTGGAGAAGGCTCTGAGCAGTGCCCAGGGGCCCCTGAGCCCGGGGGACGCCATGCGACGGGTCCTGGAGTGTGTGGCCTCAGGGATGCTCCTGACAGGTCAGTCCGCGTCGGCCGGGCAGCCGAGAACATGGGGGCACGTAGCAGACTGAACAAGAAAAGGAGCCCCTTACTAACACTCGAGAACAACGTCCAGCCCAGATGAGAGGAGAGACCCAGACATGCACTCACGTCCCCCAGAGGGAAAGGGAACAGCACAGCGGCAAGTGCAACTCACTCGCCCGCAAAGGAGGGCGAAGGCCCAGCGCAGATGGAGCAGGCAAGGGAGTCCCCCGTCTGTGGGCCTAGCACTCGTTCTCCGATGGCGGCCCGCCCCTGTCTGGGGGCCCTGGCTGTCACCAGGGGATGGCCTTGGTGGGAGTATTTCCCAAGGAAATCAGCAGGCACCCAGATAACGGGCTATATATGGAGAGGGTCACCTTGGTGTGGTTCATAGTAGCAGAAAGGAAGCGAAGATTATGTGCACTCTTGAGGTGTCAGAGACAGGGATGGAGCTTTCCAGCTGTGTTTGTGACACGAGATGGTATCATACTAAATGAAAAAAGAGCAAACACACTGTGTGTGAGCCTGTTGATAGAACTACGTGTTTGTGCGCACACAACCACGGCAGCAGGAAGGAGCCATGCTGAGTGTACTTGTGGGGACAGAGGGAGGAGTGGCCCAGGTGAGACGCCCCCAGGGGAGAGCCCGTGCCAGCCGTGGGCATGCCCCCCAGACATGGCGTGGGTACAGAGGGGTGCAGTCACAGGCCCCGTGCTCGAACCTGCTCAGGGTCCCCGTGGTGGCAGTCCTTCATGAGGGTGCTCTGTCTTCTTTGCCACCCCCACCTCACCTCACAAAGATGGGCCGGGGCTCCAAGATCCTTGTGAGAGAGACCAGATGGATGTGCTGGGGTCCGTGACCCTCCAGGAGCGGGACGACATCACAGCCAGCGCCCAGGTAGGATGGCCCGTGTCTGTGGCTCCCCAGTTCCAGGCCAGCTCGGTCACACAGTGGGCAGCACCCCGGTTCCAGCCCGTTTGCAGCTATGCAGCATCCCAGGAAATGTTCTGGGGTTCCCTTTCCTTGTCCCCACAGAGATGGGTGGCCCGTGGGAGGGTGGCCCATGGGTGACAGGACTGTGTCTGGGGGCAGGCCCAGCCTGGCTCAGAGCTGAAGCCACCGCAGCGATGAGGCGCAGGCCTGGGGCCTCAGTGGCTAGGGCTGTCCTTGGCACTCCGGCCCTACCTTTCATCCCCCTGCCCCGTGCTCTGTAAATACACGCAGCTTGTATATGTTGGCCAGCCTCACACAAAACTCCAACCCCATCTGTGGTTTCCCTTTGGTTTATAAGTTTATAAGAAAATCTGCCAGGGGTACAAAAATCACATTGGGCCTGATGTATAGAAATTATCTTAATGGAAAGAATCAAGTTGTTTATGATCAGAGCCAAACTGGAAGATGCAGGATTTGGGGTCCCCACTGAGGCAGGAGAGCACTGGCGCTCCACGAGGCCTCCTGACCAAGTCCTGCCCTTGGCAGCCTGAATGGGGCAGTCCTCGTGCAGTTCTTCATGCCTGGTGCTAACTGCGCTCAGCAGCTGCTAGAAGAGTATCATCAAGGCCAGGGTGCCTGGCGAACCGCCAGGCCGTGGGGCTGGGTGCAGAGCACAGACTGGAGGGTTCTGACAGGTTGTCTACCCCCAGCACGCCCTGCGGCTGCTGGCATTTAGGCAGATCCACGAGATCCTGGGCATGGACCCCCTGCCACCGCCCAAAAGCAGGCCAGGGTTGCGCTTCAGGAAGAGGCCTCAGGAGGCGGGCGAGGCCGAGGAAGGCCCAAGGAAGCAGGCCAGCCAGGTGGAGCGGGCCGTGTCAGTGGCCTCGCCTCCCCAGTGGGACCTGACACGCCACTGAGCCGCCACTTTATCCCCGATGTGGGACAGTTGTGTTCTCCTTTCCAGTAATGTCTCATGGGTTTCTTTAAAAACACCTGTGCTTTGACCCCCAGTGAAATTGCGTCACCCAGGGATGGAAACCTCCGGGTGGGGCAGCACCTCGAGGTGGCCCTAGTGCTGCGTAGAAGCTGTTGAAGCTGTAGCACAGCAACTTTGAACCCTGGCACTTTTGCTAGCTTTAAACTCGCCTGGGGCTCCTAAGGGTATGGGTTTATAAACTGCTCCCTATGGCTGCCCCAGCCGCGCATGGACTTAAGGTCACCAGGGCATGCCCATCCGGGACCCCTCATCCTGAAGGCTGGCCCTGGGAGGCAGGCTAGGGAGAGCTGGGGGCGGGGGCCAATCCTGAGGGCGCACCGGGGCCCTGCCCGCTCCAAACACACCGCCCCTCCCACTCATCAGCCTGGAAATGGCCCCTCATCCGGGGTCTGCTGGGCCTCATCCAGGCTCCTCTCTCATCCCCGCTGTGGGGAGGGCGACAGGGCTGAGTGCTCCTCTGCCCCTCCCAGGAGCATCTATGACCTGAATCCGCCCTGACTGCAAGACTCCCACCCCCCTCCCCGACCACCGAGTGCCTTCTGCTTACAGAAGAGTTGCTCAGTACCATCTCATTTAGGCGTGCGGTTTGCCCACTGTCTTTCTCCTGTCCCTCCTGTGTCCTGCGTAGGTCCAGCCTTTGTGGGTCCAGGGCTTGCTTCTCAGCAGCAGGTCTGGGGGCTGTACCTGGTGCAGGACACAGGGTCAGACACCTCCTGGCACTGGTTGGCATGGGGGTATCCCCTGCCCGGCCCCTGTCCTGCTCTGTCCAAACCTCCCTTTTTGGTGACCAGTTTTCTTGGTTGGCATTAAAGGAAAAAAGCTCATCTTCGTGCCAACTCAGTCTACAGTCACTTGATGCCTTTGACTCCGTGTCTGTGTTTAGGAGACAGCCTCTGTGCAGCTTCCCATCTGATGTCTTGGTAGGGCTACCTGGAAATTTGGAGGGCGGGGGAATAAATGAGATACGCTTGTCTTTTCGTGTGGGCTATTCAGTCCTTTGCTCAGGGCGTAGGGAACCCCGCTGGGCTCTCAGGGCTCTGGGCTGGGGCGCTCCCCCTGCTGCATTTCTCCTGCAAATGAAGGACAGGGGACCGGGTCCAGGCGTCCTTCGCCTCACATGGGGAGCTTCACCCAACACCCCTGCCCCGCCTTTGATCCTGGTCGGCGACTCTGCCATTTGCCCTGCTGCCTCCGCCCGGCTACTGCCACCCCTGGGTTCCTTTGTGCTCAGGAACCCCCACGTCTACTCTCCACCCGCGTTACCACCCTGCCGCTTCAGCCCTCCCTCGGAGCCCGAGCTCTGGGTGAAACTCGGAATCGCACTCAGGATGAAACCCTGAGTCCCAGTGAAGCCCCCACAAGAACCCACCTGCCACTTTTCCCCTCAATAACCACTTCAGACTCACCAATCTCTGCTTGTCATCAGACGAGCCAATCTTGTTCCTGCCCCCAGGGACTTAGCACATGCTGTCCCCACTGCATAGTAAGTTCTTCCTCTGACCTGTACGGCCATCGACGCCTTCCTTCCGTCAGGTCTCAGCTCTGATATCGCCTCCTCGGAGAGGCGGCCTTGACCACCTCCGCCTGCCACACAACTGGTTAAAATTACCTGTATCTGTCCTGGCCGGTAGTTCAATTGTTAGAGCATCGTCGGGATAAGCCAAGGTTGCAGGTTCAATCCCTGGTCAGGGCACCCACAAAGAGTTAACCGGTGAATGCATAAATAAGTGAAACAACAAACTGATGTTTCTCTCTCTCCCTTCTTCCCTCTCTAAAATCAATAAACATTTTAAAAATTAAAAAAGAGAATGTAAAGAAAAAAAAACAAAAAACACTTGTTATCTGCCTTCCCCCCAGGATGTGAATTCTCTGTGAGCGGGAAATATATCTACCTCACTCACCACCTGGTATCCCCAGGTTTAGAGCAGACCAAGTACATAGTAGTAGCTCAATAAATATGTTGAAGGCTTGAAGCCACACTTGGATACCAAACACAGGTCTCTTCATAAGAGGAATTTGCCTCCTGGCCGTTAGGAAGACTCCATTTGTTTCTGTCTCATCCCAAGAAATTATTGTAACAGCCAGGATGAGGGACATCAGTTAGGGCAGTGGCAGTATGACAAAGGAAAGGATGATGGGCCTGTCTTCAGGACAAGGACATGGCAGGTATGAGTCACAGCATCACCTCTGTGCAAAGCCCTGTGTCCTGCTGCCGTGTGCCACACTCAGCATTCGCAGACTGGCTTCCTCCCTGACATCCCGCCAGGGGCAGCGCCTGGAAAACACATCGCCCACAGTTTGCCAGTGCCGTCCCTGGCTCCTGGGGAAGATGGATATTATTTTTGCCACCTGGTAGTTTAACACCAATTCTGTTGACAGAAAATTAAGTTGGCCCCCTCCAACAACTCCAAAAATAAATAAATAAAATTAGGCAACATGACAGCAAAATCAGGCAGTGGGTTAGCTATGTATTCAGTCCAGATGGATGAAACGTCTGGGCAATAGAGCTCACTCGAGGCCTAAAGGGTGGTCTTTCCTAATCTTCCCAGCCCTCTTTGCACTGGTCAGAGGGCTCCAGAACAGGCCGGTGGGGAGATACTGAATTGGGCTCCCATGAAGCCTGACGGCTTTGAGGGGGAGAAGCACCCTGAGGCAGTGAGCAGGACCGCAGGCTGCAGGCTGCTGGCCCGTGCGCCCGGTTACTAGGAGACGGCAGCAGGCGTGTGGGAGAGATGACGTGAGATGTGTGGGCAGGGCTGGAGCTGAACCTGGCAGGCAGTCCAGGGAAGACAAAAAAAGAAAGGGCACATCTGTTGGCTTCATCTGCAAAGTCGCAGATAACACAGAAAGCTGGGAAAACGGACCGTGCCCCCGGTGCAAAATACCCGGGTAGAGGGAGCATCTCTGAGGCACGGCTGACTCCAATGGCTTGTTTGGGAAGATGTTGGCTTTGTCTTCTCCTTGGTCCCCTGTTAATTTGGGTTCCAGGGCTGAGAAGATGCTTCAGGTGAGAAGATGAAGGCTCTGCTGAGCGGACAGGCCAGAGGACCTGTGTTTCTCCTCAAGCTGGAAAGGCAACCTGGGACGTAGTGGGAGGAGTAGGACCCTGTTTATATCCGCCCAAGTTTTGACAAATAAAATGTGTTGGGAAACAGACACTTGCTCACCCTTGTTCAGAGCAGCAGCATTCACAATAGCTTAGAGGTGGAAACAACCCGAGTGTCTATTGACAGAGGAACAGGCCAAAAAGTGCGGTCCCTCCACACGCTGGAACAGCCAGCCTCCAAACAAGGAAATTCTAACCCGTGCTACAATGTGGATGAACCTTGACGACACCGTGCTCAGTAAAATAAGCCAGGGTTATTCTGGCTACTATGGAGAGATGTAATTTTTAATAGCTGCATAATATTCCACCAAATGAACATATGCTGATTTGCTTAACATTCCTCTCCTGTCAGACATTTAGATTGTTTTCAAAAATTATAAGTTATAATGTGGCAAAACGTTCCTGAAGAGTTGGGATTTTGTCCCTCTCAAAACTGGAGTTTCTCAGTCGAAGCGCATGACATTGGAAGGCACCTGAGACTTCCATGTGAAAGGTGATGTTCCCTGAGGGCTTTGCCAGCTTCCCTGTCACTGTAAATGGAGGAGCCCCACATACTGCCCCCAAGTCAGGACTGCGCCTTCTCATTTTAAAAATTACTTTTTTGCACATGAATATAAGTTCAACAGGTTTTCTTATGTGACATTTATTCCCTCCACTGCTGTTCTTTCATTCTCTCATTCACTCAGCCTGTGTCTATTGAACACCTGTTATGCACCGTGGGCATTCATACGTCCTCCCAATGTCTGCCAGTAGGAATGGTGAGAATTATTCAGTATGCAAGCAGCAAACACCGCCTTCCTTGGGAGAAACCAAAGATGAACCAGAAGTTGTTACTTCATGCAGTGAGGGTGACCTTGGGCCCTAGTCCCATGTTAGAACTTTAATGTATTTATTAGCTGTGGGGTGTCAGGGCAGCTCACTTTGCCTCCTTGAGACTCTATAAAACTGGATTAAAACTAGTAGCACCCCCCTGGCTGGTGTGGCTCACTGGATTGAGCGCCACTCTGCAAACCGAAAGGTCACCGGTTCAATGCCTGTTAGGGGCACATGCCTACATTGTAGTCTGGGTCCCTAGCTGGGGGACATGTGAGAGGCAGCTGTTTCTATCTTGCACAACGATGTTTCTCTTCCTCTCTGTCTCATTCCCTTCTTCTCTCTCTAAAGACAAAATCTTTAAAAAAAAGAGAGAAAACTTAAAAAACCTAGTAGCACCAACCTTACAGAGGAGTGGGGAGAACTCAGTAATAAAGTGCATTTTTTAAACTCTTGCAGCACAGGAAGGTTAGCCTCAGGGCCAAAGGCATGGTGGAGGGCAGGTAAGCGGGTGAGAACCAGTGATTAAAGTGAAAGTCACACATGGAAGAGTGACCTCAGATGCCTTCCCCATCTCGGCTTCTAGAATGATGGCTGTCAGGCCATGAGAAAAGCCCTGCAGATGCGGCTCACGTTTGAGGGGATCACCTGCAATGGCTAGTCCCCCCAGTGTCACCCAGGGGGGAGCCACCCCCATGGCAAGGAACTTCCTGTCGGCTCTGTAGCACTCCTCTCATAAATGCTAGCCAATGACCCCCGAGCAGTGTGGCTCAGCTGGCTGGGCATCATCCCGCAAAGCAAAAGGTCACTAGTTCAATTCCTGGTCAGGGCACCTGCCTGGTTGCAGGTTCAGTCCCCAGGTGGGGCAAGGACAGAAGTCAGCCAAATGGTGTTTCTCTCTCACATTTCCTTCTCCCTCCCTTCCCCTCTCTCTAAAAATAAATGAATAAATGTTAGCCAACAGAGAGAGAGGAGAGAGAGAAGTAACTTAGAGGAAAGAG